TCTTGAGACAGGTTCGAAGCAGGAATTCTGCCTGGCTTGATAATAGGTTAATGCACTACGGAGGCAGTTTATCACTCACTGAGTCTAGAGCAGGCAAGGTAAAGCCCCTCCGGATGTTATTGGACTCCAAAGCCCATGAGCCCCATTTTGGAGTTATTCCAACCTCGCACGTAGCCTCTAGAAGGTGTGGCTGGGAGGGACTTGTCAATCTCTCCAGCAGTAACCAATCACGCCCCCTTGCCCCTGATTTCAAAGAAGGCTCCGCCTCTCTGCTTTTGAGCTTCTCCTCCTTCTTAGGAGTCTTGTTGAAATCAGTGAGTCTGCTGAGGCCCTGTCAGTGTGTTGCAGATCTGTTGAACTGTAACTAAATTGAAGCATTTTTCATTATTTCTCCTAATAATGTCTCAGAGTGAGCTGTTTTGAGACTGTAAGTGCCTGTGGATGAGCCGAAATGGGTTGTGCTAAACAAGAAGTTATTCTGCTCTACAAGTCCCTCCTGCACAGCTGCCGTGCTGTGAAAGGAATTTAACTAAAATTCAAAAAATCTGCAACACAGCAGACAAAATGGACCACAGTCAGAACGGATGGGGGCTGCAGATCAGCATCATCTAGGCAACTGCAGAATCCTCACCTCTAATCAATGGTGACAGCATTTTAAAAACTGAGCTTGACACTGTGTTTTCTGCACCTGTGCATTCATGCAGCAGTCCTCGGCTCCCACCAGTGGTAACAGCCACAGATTCATTTCCATTACCGTCCACAGCCATAAATTAGGTTCTAGTGGGAAATAAGAAAACAGCTATTGAGGGACCTTCTTGTAGATAAGAAAATATCTTTTTATTAAATCACGAAATGGTTCAGAAACGGTCTTTGTTTTTCGGACAACTCCCGGAATCCACAAGCAAGCCCAAAGAAATGTCCCTTCCATAGAAACATAGAATCATTGAGCTGGAAGGGGGCCTCTTAAGGCCATCAAGTCCAACCCCCCTGCTCAAGGCAGGGATCTAGATCAAAGCAGATGATTTTCTCTTGAAGGCCTCCAACGCTGGAGCGCTCAACACATCCTGAGGTCATCCGTTCCATTGTCATACTACTCTAACACTTAGGAAGTTTTTTCCTGATATTCAACCTAAATCTGGCTTCCTGTTGCTTGAGCCCACTACGACGTGCCCTGCACGTGGTTGGACTACAACCCCCAGAATCCCCAGCCGAGTACAAGCAACTCCGGGAGTTGTGGTTCTGACCCCAGTTGTTCAGCTTGCTTTTGCCGAGGGGCTGCCAAATTCCTCTCCCCCCCCCAGCCCAGCCACCCTCCGAACATGCCTAGAGGAGGAGCCTTACAAGGGGAAACAGGTGTAACCTTTTAAGGGAAATCCTCCCCCCCCCTTGCTCCCAGGTCCGGGAGTAGAGATTGGCAGCCGTCCACCCCATGTCAAGCCGAAGCAGAGGCAGGAAAAGCATCTGTTGGAGGCGCATGGAGGAGGCATGGCGCAGCCAGATGACCGCAGCCCTCCCAGAAGGCAGCTGAGCCCTTCGCCAAATTTAAAAGGTTCTTTAAGAAAAGGTGCATTGTTGCAAGAATGAGGACACCCACACAGGATCCACTCAGATCCAGACTGTGAGGGGGGGGGAATCTTCTATTACTCCTGGGGTCAGACTGAACCTGCTCCCCACTCTTAGTCCCTCCACACACTAAAAAAAGGTATTTTCTTCATCAGTGATCCCATCAATGAGCTATAAGAGGAAATGAACTCCAGCGGTTTTGCAGAAGTGTGTCTAAACCTTCTCCAATTCAAGGGTCTGAAAAATCTGCAGGAACGGTATGCTTTATTATTCCTTAGTGAAATGGTCAACTCTTCTCTCCTCTTCACTGAGCTCGGGGGGGGGAGCAAAAATGACTCCCCTTCAGCCTCACAACCACCTACAAAGTTGGCCAGACTGAGACTCGAGGTCACTCCTATACGTTGCACCTTGAGGACTATAAACATGATTCACCCCGTTTCAACAGAACACTTAAAAAGCTGCACAAACATGATTTTAGGTCCTTTTTTAAATAAACAACTAGCTACCATATTTTTCTGTGTATAAGATTCCCCCATGTACAAGATGCCCCCATGTACAAGATACTCCCCCCCCCATTTTTCCAATCCAAAATTAAGAAATCTAAGTGGGGCTTAGCAAGTGTAGGGGGAAAGGGATCAAAGCGCTGCAGGATCGCTTTGATCCCTGCTTTCCCCTCCACTTGTTTTTTTCTCTCCTCAGCTTACTTCTGTGTATAAGACAACCCTCAATTTTTAGTCTAAAGATTTTAGACAAAAGTATAGTCTTATACACAAAAAATACGGTATATCGATGTGTGTATTGTGCCATTACATCAGAAATGACTTTTAGTGACCCTAGTAGGGCTTTTTAAGGTGAGATATTGAAGGAGTGGTTTTTCCAGTCCCACACACCCCAGTGACCTTCCATGGTTGAGTGGGGTGGGTGGGATTTGAACCTTGTTCTCCAGAGTCCCCGTCTGTCACTCTACCACACTGGGAATCAGATGTTGTACATTATAGATACAAACACAATTATTTTTGCTTTGTACAAAAAAACTGTTTCACAAGCACTCCACCTAGAAATAATCAGCCCTCGAATTGCAAAAAGACACCCCAGTGACCTTCCGTGGTTGAGTGGGGTGGGTGGGATTTGAACCTTGTTCTCCAGAGTCCCCGTCTGTCACTCTACCACACTGGGAATCAGATGTTGTACATTATAGATACAAACACAATTATTTTTGCTTTGTACAAAAAAACTGTTTCACAAGCACTCCACCTAGAAATAATCAGCCCTCGAATTGCAAAAAGGGGCTGGATTTCCTGGACTCTGAAGACACCCTAGAAAGACGTTCATCACCAGGTTTTCACTGCAGACTGAACAAGATCCGTTCAATCCACCCCATGTCGCTGCTCAAGGCTTAGCTATAATCGGAGCAGCTTCCCTTCCTTCTCTCTCTCCTTCCTTCCTTGTTTATCTCTGCCAAGACCCACAGCAGCCACCAGAGGTCAGGCCAGGCCAGTTAAAGGCAAGCTTGGTCCAGCCGTTCCAAAATTTGCCTCTCCAAATGTGTTCTGTACGGTTTTGAGCTACCCACAAGCCGAGGTCCTTCTTGACACCCGCCATTTGTTTTCCTGGCCTAGCCTGTCCTTGGCACAAGGACGGTGTCAATCAGATACCAAGGATCATCGTGGACTCTTTCCCCAAATGCATTTGCTGGATGTCACAGCAGCCAACCACCGGCGTACAGTATTCCTATTGCCAGCACCAAACTTGTTACTGGGGTGGCAGTGGCCATGGGGGTGGCAAAAAGCCACCGATCTGAAGGCACCCTTCCATATATCAACAACATGTGCAGTCAAGCTGACTCTAACTTTTAATAAAGCTTTCCAGGGTTTTCAAAGCAGAGAATACTCAGAAGTGGTTTCCCCTTCCTTTCACCCAGGCTAGCTTTTCTTCCGGGAGGCCCCGTGGGGGAATCGAACTCCCAACCTCTGATCCCACAATCAAAGCAGTGGGGGAATCGAACTCCCGTCCTCTGATTCCACAATCAGAGACCTAAACGACTGAACTATTGAGCCAGCAGCCCATATCTGGCCTTCCAGATCTTCTTAGACTGTACCTCCCAGCCTGACCACCACCATCCCACCTATTCTAGCTAAGACTACTGGGAGTTGTAGTTCCCTAAATTTCCGCCGAGCCAGGCTTTGCCCACCACATTGCAAAGGATCCCCTGCAGATCACACACATGAAACACCCTGAATGTTCAGGAGCGCGAGACAAACATTAAAGGTTGATTAGGATGGCTACTAGATTCCTTCCCATTTAGCCTTGTATATTGAGAATCAGGGAGTCCGCTCACAGAAAAAATAAGTGTGTACTTTTAAGGACTGAGAAATGGAGGTTTTACAGTCACCCCTCTTCAGCCACAACTCCCCCCCCCCAAAAAAATTGGAGTTTCAGATATTCCAACTTCCCAGCTGAAGAACCAAATCCCCCTCGCCCACAAGACCTCACCATCCAACGTTAACCTGACTGTGTAGGAGTCTATTGTTCCCTGTTGATGCCTAATGTGGGGTAGTGATGAATTAGGGCTCAAGAAACCTGGATTCGAATCCCGACTCAGCCCTGGAAACTCGCTGGTGTGTGTGCGTGCGCGTGGAACTGGGAAAACCACTCCTTAAATCTCTCACTGTGGAAGACCCCACTAGAGTCCCTGTAAGGCAGTTCCAACATGACAGCTAACATTGATTCCATACAGTTTCCAGCTTTCCTCATATTGCCCCGGATCCTTCGAAGAACTGCACCCAAAACAGCGTTGTTTCAATGAATCACTCCTTTTATATTATTAAACATTTTTTTTGGATTATCTATCAATCATCATGTATGATACCCAGTGTGGTATAGCGGCTGGAGTGACAGTTTTAAGACTCAGGGGTTACTTTTCCCACCTGCTTCCAGGTGAGAATTTAAGGAGCGATTTTACCAAGTTCCACGCACAGGCACCCCAGTGAGCCTCGACGGCTGTGCAGGAATTTGAACCCAGGTTTCCTGAGTCCTCTCCAGGCGTAGACTCAGGAAGTCTGGGTTCAAACCCCAGCTTGGCCCACGAGGCAGCACTCTGCTTTCATCTGATCCGTTGATCCTCATCAAGGAATCCGAGGGAGCCTTTAATTTCTCGGATGCACCGGGAAACAGCAGGGTGGGAAAATTTGGAGGGGCCAAATCTGACACGTCAACCTGCCCAAGCAGGCGAGAGGGGCCAAACCCGAGAAGGCAACCTGTTCCTTTAAAGGTTGACGAAGGAGGATGGCGAGCAGGTGGCACCAGCGTGAACACGCGGAGGCGCCGCGTCTCCTCTTCCCCCCCCCCCAATCTGGAATGACCTCGCCTTCCGACGTGCACCTGTGCGCACGCAAAGCTTGGGTTTACCCACCGGGGCCTGCTTTAACCCCCCCCCCCAGGCGGAAGTTTTTCCGGCCACTCGGAGGCTGGTCCCTCGTTGGGAATCAGACCCCGGCCGGGCGCTGGTCTGGCGCCTCCTCCCTCGGGTGTGGCCTCTCCAGGGGAAAGCTGCAGGTTCGGGGCTCCTCCGGCGCTTTAGGATCAGCCTGCGCGGGTTGCCGGCACGACTCCCAGCCTCCGGCTCTTTGCGCGAGAGCTCGCGGGGGACCCAAAGCCAGCCGAATTGGACCCCAAAAGGGAAACCGAGGGAGTTCGCTTGCTCAGCTTGGGAACCAGGCGGACGGAGACACCGCAAAAAAGGTCTGGACATTTTGAACTAAGCCGGGTGCCTTTCCGGGCCGGTGGGGCAAAGGAATGGAGGGGGGGAGGGGGAGGTGAAGGATGCGGGGGTGCCTGCGTTAATGAAGGCATGCCGAGGATCTTCCAAGGGGCCCTCCCCATCCTAACAGAGTGGTGGTCTTAACGCTTACATTGCCTGTGTTAATGAAGGCATGTCGAGGATCTTCCAAGGGGCCCTTCCCATTCTAACAGAGTGGTGGTCTTAACGCTTACATGATCACTCCTCCTGCCTTGCTTCCATATATCAATTATTTTCAGTGAAGTTTTGCGGGTCTGTTTGCGTTTAACGTTGGTTTTTGTACCGATCGTGTGCCTTGTTGGACGTCGTTGTTCGGTGATCTACTTGTGTGTAAAGTGTAAGCCGCCCAGCGTGCCCTTGGGCAGCCAGAGGGGCGGTAGAAAAGTCCGGGTCTCCCTTGCACCCCTCGGTGGGCGGCTGGGCTTCTTTATCTCGCCGGCCAAAAGGGCCCCTCGCCCCCTGGGAGTTGCCCCCCTCCCCAAACCTGGAAGAGTGCTTGTGGGGGGGGGGATAAGGGTTTTCCCCTCCCCCCCGACACGCGTACACACCCGCAAACCCTCCTGGAGAAGGGAAGCGGAGGGAGGGAGGGAGCAAAGGAGCGCCCGCCCAGGTGTTCCTAGGTCCCCGGGCGCCTCCCCGCCAGGTGGAGAGAACCCCTGGCGCCGCCTCGCCCGTTCTTTGGACCGCGCCGGATTGGGCTCCCAAACAGCAGCACCAACCTGGGTTTTCTCCCCTTGCTTCCTCCAGGACGGGGAGCGATCCATCCTGCCGCTCTGCGGCGCGGAGACCCCGGGAGGGAAACGGTAGGCGCTGGGGCGCATTTGGAGAGGGGCGCATTTGGAGAGGGGCGCACCCGGTGGGAAGCCCAGGCAGGGTGGATTGACAAAGGGAGGGGGGAAGGAGGAGTTAGTCCACTTTAATTATCTCTCTCCTTTAGAGGGTTTGATTTGGTTTTTTTAAATAGGGTGGAGGTCCTTTAAAGTTTAAACCCCCCACACAGTAAATGGAAAGGGTCTGGTTGTTTGGGCTTTTCTTCCCCGGAAAAGGATTCTTCGTTCCGTGGCTTAGTTGTGCTGAGGTTTGTTTTGGAAATCAACCCGGGGAGGTTGTTGTTGTTGTTGTGTGTTTTTTTTTTGTTTTTTGTTTTTTAAGGATTGCTTTCCGGTCGAGTCCTGGCTGGGCAGTAAACGCACCCACTCCTGGGGCTTCCTTTGGAGTAAGTGCCGTCGCCGCTGGGATTCTCCCCTCCTCCCGATCTTGCCTCGTTGGAGGGTTTTGTTCTCATATCCGCCTCTTGAGTGGGAGAACGTGGTTCGGCGGAGTGAATCGGTTCGGCGGTGGCTCGGCGGTTCTGACCTTGTTTGGGAAACAGCTCGCTTGGGGGGGATCGGGTTTTCTTTTTGGTGAGGGTTGCAGGCAAAGTCTGGAACCTTTTGCGTGCAGGAAAAGAACAATACATTGAGCCACGGAAGACATTCCTACAGCGTTTTTGTTGTTGTTTACTGTAAAGTCGCCTCCGACTTATGGCGACCCCATGAATGAGCCCTCTCCAAAATGGCCTGTCCTCAACAGCCCGGCTCAGCTCTTGTAGACTCAAGCATAAGGGGAGTCAGTCCATCTCATACCTGGTCTTCCTCTTTTCCTGTTGCTTTCCACTTTTCTCAGGATCCTTGTCTTTACTAAAGAACCCTGCCTTCTCACAATACCCCCCCCAAAGTATAGCAATCTTAATTCAGTCTTTTTTTTTCTTCTAAAGAGAGCCCTGCTTTGATCTGTTGTTGTTATGTGCCTATACAGTTGCTCATTTATGTCAACCCTCTGAATGAATGGCCTTCATAAGGTCTTGTCCTCAACAGCCCTGGCTCAGATCTTGCTAACTGAAGACTGTGGCTTTCTGTATGGACTTGATCTATCTCACATTTCATCTTCCTCTTCTCCTTCTGCCTCCAACTTTTCCCAGTATGGCTTTGATCTGTTGTTGTTATGTGCTTATAAAGTTGCTCATTTATGTCAACCCTCTGAATGAATGGCCTTCATAAGGTCTTGTCCTCAACAGCCCTGGCTCAGATCTTGCTAACTGAAGACTGTGGCTTTCTGTATGGACTTGATCTATCTCACATTTCATCTTCCTCTTCTCCTTCTGCCTCCAACTTTTCCCAGTATGGTTTGATCTAGTCTGGCATCTATGAAGCTCTTCTTGAAGACCACATCTGAAAAGAGGCTCCTGTTTTGCCCTGCTCAGCTTTCTTATCCACAACCTTTTGGTCTGAAATAAATGAATAGATGGCTGAAGTTTCCAGCTATGTTGTCTTCTTCATGATCACCCCAGGAATTCCCCGGGGATCCCAACCCGGGGCTTGTTTTGAAGTAAAGAATAGCAAAAAGACTTCTGCTTGTCCTTTGCAAAACCTTTGCAGGATTGCACCCTTTACAAGAGGAGGCCACCCATTTTTACTAGTATACACATTTTTAATTTGTTTTCATTTTTCAAACTAAGGATGTTTATAATACTCTTTTGGTTTAATTCTGTTTTAATGGTGATCTCTTAATTTATTGTGATTTTTAAAATATGCTTCATTAAAATTGCCTTGTGTTCCTTTATTGGAAAAAAAGGAAGGATATAAATAAAGTACTGCTGGATGGCTCAGTGGATTAGGTCTCTGGCTGCAAAGCCAGAAGTTGGGAGTTCGATTCCCCACTGGGTCTCCGTGATAGCTCTGCATATGATATGTTATGACGTATAACTTATAAAATGTATATTATGCCTATAATAATAATCTTGATTATTCTACAAATATGTTTAGGCCTACCAGCATTTCCTTGAAAGAAACTGATACAAGATTGCTAATCTAGTGATAAAATGTAATCTGGAAGGAAATTTACCTTCCTTATGGGACTTGGTAAAAATAATCTTATTAAGAATTTTTAAAAATTTATTTCCCTCCTCTCACTGATCCAGAAGAACTGTCCTTAGTTTTTCCTTTAAGTTCTACCTGATAGATTATTGTAAATGTCTTTTTATTTTTCTAAAAATTCATCACCTTTTGATTCTAGTCTCCCCTGTTTTTTCCTTTTGTTCTGCCAAGTAAGGATGCCGTGACATTTCTCATCTAGGTGCTCAAAAATATATATATATTTTGTACTTCTTGTCTTCACATTCCAGCAAAACAACAGCATTTGGGGGTAGCTTTAAGATTTATCTCTTTCAGCATGGATTGTCATGGATTACTGTCTGCCTCTTAACAAAAATCAGTCATTTTTGCTGTGATCCTGCACTGTACAATGAACGATGTCTATTCCCGAAACCCTACATTCTTGAACCTCATACGTCTCTCTTTTTTAAAAAAAGCAGATCAGTTCATGCTTAAAACAAATTAGTTAGTCTAGACACTTTCACGTTATGCCTGAAATCAGAGGCAACTGTAAGCTGTTAATAGATATGCAATTTGAAAAGCGTGCCTAATAACCAGTTTTGCAAATACAGGATTTATTTCTGCTCTTGGCCTTAAGGAGACGGAAGTCTTGCTGTGCCCGTGGGTTAATGTACTACAATCATATTACGAAGGTGGCTGTTTTATACAGCGCTAGATAGACTTTTGCTCCATCAAATTCCATAACGTCTTGTTGGACTGATTTGATGATGGGTCTCCAGGATTAATAATACTAATCATGTGTCATCCAGTCACTTCTGACATGGTGATGCTTTTTCAGGGTTTTCCAAGTAGAGAAGACTCAGAAGTGGGTTTTCCCTTCCCTTCTTCTCCTGGGGGTGCCCTGGGACTGCTGTGCAGCTGGCCCAAGGCCACCCAGGCTGGCTCTTCTCCCAGAAAGGGGCTGAGATGGGTGAGGCAGGCTTCGCAGCCAGAGACCTAACCCCGAGCTAAACACCATGCTGTTCTTGGCTTCACCTGTGGAGAGCCTTACCTGTTTGCAAAGTGTGAGCTTTATCATGGAGCAATACCCCTTTATTATGGGACCCACAGAGTTTGCTGCGTTTGGTTTTCTTGAGCTGGCTGAAGTTGGCTTTCCTGTCCTCTCTTGGCGGTGGCTCAGCAGTCGATGATCGAAGAATTGAAGGGTGTTCCTACTCGAAAGTTAGGCCTGGAAAGAATGCAAAGAGGGGAAAGCAAGCGATCCATTTTGCCTGACAAGTAGCAGGTCTCGGCAGGCGCACATGGTTAAAACACACACACACACATACACGAACGAATAAATCAAAGTGCAAAAACTAAATTTTGGTCTTTATTTTTTACATAGAATAGTTCCCCCTTTTCTGGCCCCTGAGCTAAACACCATGCCGTTTTACATAGAATAGTTCCCCCTTTTCTGGACTGTAAGGAACCGAGTTCCCTGCACGTCCTAGGGGATGATGGGCCTTGTGATCCAAACAGTTCCTTACACTGAGAGGATGGCGAAATAAATCAAGAACTGCTGCGTAGCTCAGTAGATTAGGTCTCTGGCTGCCAGCAGCAAAGGCTGGGAGTTCGAATTCCGCACTGGGCCTCCTTGACAGGGGCTGGACTTCATGATTCCAGCTCTGCAGTCCTAAGATTATTCGATGCTTTCAAATTTTCAGCTGGCTCGTGTTTCCATCCAGCCTCTCTTCTGAGGTGCTCATGATTCACACACACACCCCCAGTGTGGCAAGTTGACTGCCTGGAGATGCCATGTGAACAGTGCCGTGAACAGGGCCCACCGTGGTTTCCATCGTTAAAAGCCCTGTCTTAAAAGCAAAACAACAACAACATTAAATTATCCAAATATTTAAGAAGAGGGACATTAAAAATGTTAGGTGGAAAGCCAGAGTTAGAAGCAGCAAAATATAAATTGTCTTTATTGTCTTCTGGATGGTCAGTCACAACTTTTTCCTGTTGAGCAGCATCCTTTGTTGGAGAAAAGCCCATCCTCTTTTTATTATCCTGCATTTGGAATTTCTTTTGTTTTGGGCTTTTGTAAAAAATGCAAACAATTGCCCATTGCTCCCCATTTTTGTCCCGAGGCCTTAGGGACTCAGCCTCTCCTGTACTGATATGGCTGTTGTTTTTTGGTTGGTTGGTTTTGCATAGATAAAGAGTCTAGCCCTCTGTGTTTTTTTTCAAAAGAAATAAAAACCAGTGCTGTAATGCGCATGAAAATGCAACGGCATTCTCTAGCTATTCCTTGACAGAGTACGTTTTTCCATATTTTGTTGCTCATCCTGAAACCTATACTTTTCAAGTGGGTAAGGCATCAATAAGACCATAATGCTAGGAAAAGCCAGCAGGAAAAGAGGGAGAAGCAGTGCAGAGCAGCTGAAACAAACATCAGACAACATTCAATAAATCCAATTGCGAAACAAGAGATCAAAATCTTAGGGTGTATAAAATCATAGGCTTTTATTATAGTTTAAAACCCTGCCCCACTTGTTGATGGTTGCATTTCAGTTACATAGGGGGAAAAGTTTGCTGCTATTAACCGTAGCCATGTAAAAGGATCAAATGACAGGAAAAATGTATTAAATTAAATTAAAACAAGAAACCAGCAAGGCAGAACAGTATGCTGATGTTAAAACTGCACATGCGTGCTCTGTTTATCCCCATTTAATGCCCTCAAAAGTTCCTTTACAGCCCTTGTGATCTCAGTCAAGGGATTTTAAAGAAGAAGAAAAAAATATGAGTCTTTCAGGGGAAAAAACACACATGGTAGTTGGTTGCAGGCATTTTTTCAGTGCCTTTCCCTGAAACCTTCAGAAGAACCCCAACAGATGGCAATATTCTGTATGGGTTTTGAGTCTTGTATGTTTCCGTGGGTCAAGCGCTATCTGGGCAGGTTCTCACAGGACTATTTTATAAAATTCTACAGAACTCCGTGAACCCATTGAGCAGAATGTAATGGCTGCAGCACCTCTGCCTCTTTGGGTTAAATCCGTTCTGAAGTTTGAGAGACAGTGAGGTCTATTGGTTAGTGTCACACTGAAACCAGAACTATCCGTTTTCAAATTCCACTCAAGTGTGTTTTTTTAAAATCTTTCCCTATGGATAAAATGATAGGCTAGGACTCTGAAGAACAGAGTTCAAATCTCCACCTGGCCGTGGAAACATACTGGGGGAGTGGATCAGGTACAGCCATTCCTTAAAGATCTCACTTACCTTGACAGCCCTATTAAGATCACTATAAGTGTGTTCCAGCTTGATAGCACAGAATGCACAGACACATCCTCTTCATCTGTCTGGATAGTCCAGTGGTTTAAATCTTTGGCTGCAGAACCAGAGGTTTGGAGTTCCAATTCCCCAGCATGACTCCTGGAAGAAGAGCCAGCCTGGGTGGCCTTGGGCAAGCTGCACCATCCCAGGGCACCCCCATATCACAGTTCAGGATATCCCAGGCAGTCCCACACCAGGGGCAAAGGCATCAGGACTCACAGAGTATTAAGTTCCACGGCACTCGCTGTGCAGTGGGTCGTGGTTAAGCCGAGGCAGGAAGGAGCGCAAGGCTGAGCATCTGGAGCCAGAAAAAGCCACCAAGATGCAGGGGACCAAAGCAGGAAAAAGGCACAGAAATGCCAGCAACCAGGCAGTAAACACAGCCCAAACCAAAGACCTTCATTGCTGAGGCCTGTTCTGGGAGGGAGAACCGCTTCTTAAATAGGGCTTCCCTCCAGGTTTCCAGGTGAGCCTCATGAGTGGCCAGGCAGCTGCTCCTCAGGGCCTGATCCTGCAAACACCTGGCCCTTCCTGGGTCCGGCCGGCCCCGATCCTGCAGCTGCCAGGGGTGCTCCGGGCCAGATCCCAACACCTGGAAGAAGGGAACAAGGAAACCACTTCTGAGGAGACTCTACCTGGAAAACCCTGGTCATAAGTCAGAATTGAATTGGCCGCACATGATGATGGCGATTTCCGGTCTCTTTAGAAAGGTGTTGTGAAGATGAAATGGAACAGAGGATGGGAATCAGGGGAGCTGTAGAGATGAGGCTGATGAACCTCTTTAGAGGAAAACAACAAACTTCAGGTCTCCAAAAAAAAAAAAAAAAGGGAAGAGAACTATTTCTTGGAGCTGGTAAAGCCACTCCTTAAAGATCTCACTTACCTTGAAAGTCCTATTAGGGTCACTGGAGGTCAGACGTGGCTTGAAGGCGCATGACCTAGAATTAAGAGCTGCTGGGAATACCCCAGAATTCCTGCTCCCCAGTAGGACTAATTGTTTAGGGGCAGGCTTTCACCCCCCCACACACATAGTTTGGAGTGTCCCGTCACAGTTCCTTATTAAGCTCCATCCCCGCTCATCAAGAGAGCCGTACGAGTCACTATTAAATGTTGGTGGCCAGCAGCCCAAACAGTTGCAAAGTGCATTCTTGCCGCGGTGGATATTGAAACATCACCCTCTTTCCCTCTCATTTTCACTTACGGCTCCCGGCTCCCAGCAACCTCAGCCGGTATAGCTAAGGGTGAGGGGGAAATGGGAACCGGAGTCCCTCCAACTCTGGAGGGTGGACGTTCCTGATCTGTTCGGTTTGCCTGCCAGCCACCCCCCTCCCCTGCTGCATGCCGTTCCGTAACCTCTCATCTTTCATGTTTTTTTGCTTTCCTTTTCGAACTGGCGTGTAACAGTCTGCAGTTTCCTGGTTGCCGCTAACTCTTGCTGGAGAGGTGGGTTTTGGGTCCCCCCTCCCTTTCTTCCTTTTTAATAATAATAATCACCGGGTGCTGTCAAGTCAATTCTGGCTTATGGGGACCCTTTTGAGGGTTTTCCAGGTAGAGAATACACAGAAGTAGTTTCCCTTTCTTCTGTGGGGGACCCCTGGGGCTGTGCAGCTGGCCCAAGGCCACCCAGGTTGGCTCTTCCCCCAGGAAGCACTGTAGGGAATTGAATTCCCAATCTCTGGCTCCACTTAGCTCAGTGGCTTAATCTGGTGGTGGAGCCAGAGGTTGGGAGTTTGATTCCCCACTGGGGCTCCTTGATGGGCTGGATTGATGATAAATGATTTTGGAAATCAGGCTGTAGCTCCTTGATAGGGGCTGGATTAATGATAAATGATTTTGGAAATCAGGCTGTACTGCAACGAAAATGGGAGAGCGAGGTTACCCTGTCCTGGTTTTCCAGCATCCCCTAATGTGTCAGCTGCAGACCAGCCTTCTAGCAGCTCTGTTGAAAAACTGCAGGGAAAAAAAAACACACAAAGAAATTAAGAAAAGCCTGCTGCAGAGAGAGATCAAGGAACAGTTCTGGTTGGGAGGGAAGAGCTTTAAAAACTAACCAGACCAGTTGGACGGCTTGTGTTGGGAATGCGAGCGTGTGGGCGTTTGGTAATAGCTGCTGTGTGACCTCTCTCTTGACTTTAAAACAGCCCTGGGAAAGGAGAGAACATTTTGCCCTCCCTCCTGCACGCTGGCGGAATCCAATAGGAAGTAGGAAACGTTAAATGTTGCAGTTAAATATCAATCCGGATCTTCTCTCTTATGCTACCTCTAAAGTGAGACCGTAAAAGTGCGTTGCCTGAAAACTAACTGCTTAGAGGTCTCTGCTTCATTTGAAGTTTATCAGGCAAAAATCCAAAAAACAAACAAACAAAAAAACAAAGCAAAACACTAATTTTAAAAGTTCCTCATTGTTGCTTCTTGTATCTCCTTTTGCTAGAAGAGACCCTAATGTTGCGATAGGTGGAAAGATCAAGGCCAAAGATGAGATGGAACGAAATGAAAGATAAAGATTTGCCTTCTCAAAAAGTCAGCCACAGCTGGAAATTAGCTAATTAATTAAACAATTTAAAGTTCATTAATTTAATTATGTAAATATAGCTTTGTATCAGGCTTGGGCCAGGGGGCATGTACAAGAGGAATTGTAAAATAGTGGAGTTGGGAGGAGTCTCTAAGGCTGCTGCGTTCAACCCCCGGCTCGGAGTAGGAATTCATATCGAAGCAGAACTGACCGAGGGTTGCCCAAGCTTCTCTTGCATGCCTCTAGCGCTGGAGCGCTCACCACCTCCCAAGGTCGAGGGTTACGTTGTTGTACTGCTCTAACAGTTGAGAAGCTTTTCCTGATATTCCGCCAAAATGTGGCTTCCTGTCATTTGGGCCCATTGGGATGCATCCTGGACTCGGGGAGGATGGAGAGCAGATCCCGGCTCTCCTCTGGAGAACTACCTTCCAAGTCTTTGAAAAGTGCTCTCCTATCTCCCCTCGGTCTTCTTTTCTCAAGGTTGCCCTCCGCCAGTCTTTCCAGGTGAAAAAAAGAGTCACCTCAAACCCCCATGGTTTATTTCCTGTTTATCAGCATAGATCCTGACCGCGTTGTTTGTTGTTCTCTCCCTAGGCTTCTTGAACCTGCTGTGGGTCTACTCCGCGGAGGCACCGCCATGTCCCAGAGGCATTCGTTCCCCTCCGTGGGGGACAAGACCGTGCTCCTCGAGCAGCGCTTTAGCTCAGATTTGCACCTCCGGGCCAATGGCGTATCCCCGCATGGGAAATGTAGCTCCTTGGGCACGCTGGACAGCCCATCCTTTGGACCCGAGGGCTCGCCGCCTCCCGCCGTGCCTCGCCGGATCATCCTCAGCACGGAAAGCCCGGCCGCCCTCAAGCTCGGCACCCAGCAGGTCATTCCGAAGGGCCTAGCCGAGGGTCCCAAGGCGAAGCCCCCTGCCCGGCACCAGAGCTTCACGGCCACTGTCCTGAGCAAGGAAGGGGTCTGGTGTGACCCAAAGCGCCTGTCAGCTCCCAGCATTTCTTTCGACGACCTGGAGGAGGAGGATTTGGACAGCGGGACCCTGAAGCGAAACCTGCGGAGCATGTCCTACCGGGCTGCCATGAAGGGCCTCAGCCAGGGCGAGGAGCCACCGAAGGCAACCAGCAGCCTGAAGCCAGTTTCTGGTGACGCCGTTGCCCAAGGGGCTCGTAGTCCCGGGAGGAACAAGGTATGTTTTTGTGGCCGTTCCCTGGGCTTTGCAGCCAATCTGTGAAACAAAAATAAGAATGGGTTGTGGCTTTCCCAGCCATCCCCATTTCCGCCCCCATGGGAGGTAAAAAAATCCTAGTGAATGGGAAAGGAAAGAGATGTCTTGCAGAGCATCATGGGAGTTAGAGTCCATGTCCTCTACAGAAATGAAGGCGTTCCCGGATCTGTGGGTGCTCCCCTTTCCCCAGAGATGGGCAAAGGGGAGCCATTCAGGTCTGGTTGCACTGCCACTCTCACCAGGTTAGCCAACACAACAGTGGTGAGGGCTGATGGGCATTGTAGTCATATTGACCAGATAGGTGGGATATAAATAGGTCTGGTTGCACTGTCACTCTCATCAGGGTAGCCAGCATAACCAGTGGTGAGGGCCGATGGGCACTGTAGTCCATCAGGACCATCCATCATACTTTTTGGAAACCACCTACCCTGATGAGAAGTTCTGAAGAACCTGAAAACTTGTACCCTTCTCATAAATCTTCCTTAGTCGGATTGGTGTTTCCCGTTGGTTTGATTGGGTTGGGTTTGGAAGAGAAGCTGACTCTGATGATGACGGGGGTGCAGGAGGAGGAAGAAGAGGGAGGACTGGATAGGGAGGCAACGGGGGCAGCAAGAAGGGGGCAGTTGAGCATCTATTTTTGGTTTTACACTTGTTTTAATTTTTTTCCGCACTCAGCAAAACAAAATGCTGAATGCAAAAAAAGTTTGGTGTTTTTTTTCAGCGAAACAGGTTGCGCGAACGGCCCCACAAACCAGCCCGGTTCTGGTTCGTAGTTCGGTTCGTGCCCATCTCTATTTGCCACCTTTGATGATCTTTGAACTCCTTTCGGATCTGTTTTTAGGGTGGGGGCAGCAAGAAGGGGGTGGGTGAGCATCCATTTTTTTGCACTCAGTGAAACAAAAGGCTGAGCACAAAAAAAGTTTGGTGTTTTGTTTCAGCGAAACAGGTTGCGCAAACGGACCCACGAACCAGCCCGGTTCTGGTTCGTAGTTCAGTTCGTGCCCATCTTATTCTTAGCCGTGGTTGGCTGGAGCATCTGGAAGCTTAAGCCACAAAGCCATGGCTTGGTGTATGATCTGTGCAAATCCCTAGCCTTCGGATATGATCTCGCATGCCTTTGTTGTCCCATTCAAAGCAGGTAGCTTTGATTTTCTTTGCCACTTTTGAACTCCTTTCGGATCTGTTTTTAGGGACCTATTCTTAGCCGTGGTTGGCTAGAAAATCTGGAAGCTTAAGCCACCAAGCCATGGCTTGGTGTATGATCTGTGCAAATCCCTAGCCTTCGGATATGATCTCGCATGCCTTTGTTGTCCCATTCAAAGCTGGTAGCTTTGATTCTCGGTTTATCTTCCTTGGAAATAGGCATCCTGAAGTGTGGATTTTCTAGATGGGAAGAGAGCTGTAGAAAGAATTTGAAGCTGGCCTGAGTCTCTTCCTGGAAGAGAGCTGTAGAATTTGAAGCTGGCCTGAGTCTCTTCCTTTTTCGCCGATGCAGGGCCAGGCGAGGGTCAAAGACCGAAGTGCAGTAAAAGCAAAACCACTTAACGCCTTCCTTTCCAAAATGTAGAAAGCTGTTCTCTGGGAACCAGGAAGTTATGGGACTTAGTTTGATGCTGGCTTTGGGATTTGAACATGCAATCACGAGGGAGATCTGGAGTGGGCGGCTTCTTGAGTCGGTGCAATAGGTCTTTCCAAGACATGTTTAACGGGGCCAAAAAATGGCCCTGGGTTTCAGTTAAGAGTTCACAGTCTCATCTCTGAGAAAGGATGCACCCCAGCTGTTTTAGCTTGTGTTTTTGAGTGACCGCTTTTGGCCACTGAGATCCAGCAGGGACAAAGAAAACTCATTTTCCAAGATATCTGGAGAACATCAGCTGTGCATAAATAAAATTCCACTCTTAACAAGCTATTTATCATAGCTTGGGCATTCTAAATCTTTTGGACAGAAAGATCGGGGTGGGGGGGGCTTGTCTGTTTTATGCAGCGGCCCATTCAGCAGTGTGATTTGTAGTCGACCGGTGGTTGCTGGACTACAGCTCCCACCATCACCATCATCATCCCTTTATTCACATAATAAAATAAAATAGTAAACGGAGAACTGATATACAAATAAAATCCATTTAGTCAAAGTTTACTAAACGGGATACATAAATAAATAAGACTCACTGAACTAGATTCGGATAGCATCCTTCTTCTCTGGGTAATGAATTTCAAGATGACTGCCACTTTCTCTGATACATTCCCCATGAACACCCAAAAGAATATGTACTTTATTTTCTCCCGATCAACACCTGTCAACACAGCCATCCAAAGAGTGCGTGAAGCACTGTGGGGCAGTATATAAACAGCGTGCTTTATTTTTGCTTTCCTTTATTGCACCTTGGCCAAAACTAACGAGAGTTCATAGTTTAAGTGTAAAAAGAAACTCCAGATTTAAGTCAGGAACTGAACTTCCCTGATATTCTCTTAGTTTGAGACTTAACCGTGGTCTAGAGCAGCATCAAACCCCAGGCCCACTTTTGTTCTCTGTATGCGCGCACATGGAAACTGGAAAGTCAAATTCGAGTCACAGCAAAAGAATGTGTATAGAAAAGAATTCCCCTCGAGAGATAGAAAGATAAGTTTGGGATGCTTGGCTAGCTACATATTTGGAGAGAAATTAGACCCAGGGAGAGGAAGTGAACTCACTTTGGGAATACGATGGTATAGTTATAAATTTGGAAGTAAATTGTTCATCCTAACAGACTCCCTAGAATGGAGAGTTCAAAATGCATGTGGCTTGGTTTATATGAACAATGGATGAGCAGGTGTTTTGTAAACATAGTGGCTCTTAGTTGCCTCTTTAACCCTGTCGCCATATTTTTGCTCTGCAGCAAGCCTGACTAGAAAGAAGGTACTTATCTGGGGCAATCTGTTTCTCTCCCAGCTCCCATGACGTCTGAGTCAAAATGGAGCTAAATCAAAGTCTCTGCATTAGTCCAAATTCTTTGGAAAGCAAGGCTAAAAGAAGACAAACTCTCGCAAAGCAAAGGTGATAACGTGTCACATCTTGCCCAGGAATTTATGAGCAGATCAGGGAAGTTCTTTCAGCGTACAACTTCCTTTCAGCTTTCAGGAAAAGCAAACCCTGTAATTGTAAATCGTTCCCCTTGACCCTCTGCCCTGTCCAAGCAGGTGAAAAGAACGTCAAGAATACCTGGAGAAATGTAAATAAAAATGCCGACCCTCTATCCTTCCCCCCCCTAAAACAAGTCATCGCATCTAAGCTCAATGGGAAAATTATTTATTTTACTTATTTATTTATTTAAAACATTTTCACCCCACCTTTCTCCTTAAAAAGGACCCAAGGTGGTTGGCATCGTTAAAAGGCAATGATTAAAAGCTAAAAATCTGTAAGTATGCAAATGTTAAAAAGAAGCTAACAAAAACAGACTAAAAATGGTAAAAATAAATGAAGACCAGGAAGAAAATCTAGTGGGTCTTCTCAGCCCAGCCCTGTACCCCATTGGAATTGTGTTCCGGTACCTCTCGGCCAGCTGTAAAGAAGCAATGGGGAGAGATTTAAATTAACAGCTCTTTTAATTTTTTTTAAAAAACCAGGAGATCTGAGGCGCTGGCAGAAAATAGTGATTAACCAGTGTCTGCCTCCCAGAATCTGTTGGGTGAAATTGGCCGGTTGAAGGAGGCACATCTTTTGTGTGGCTTAAAAGGATGATGGTGGCGACGGTTGTTTTCTGGACTGGGAATGGAACAAAAATAAATCCAGACTTTACTGAAAATTCTTTGGGTGGTTTGGATGCCAGGATGAACTCCCAACCTGCAGAATCAGCAGCAATGCTGTTCGAGGTGATTTCAGGAGAAGGAGAAAGAGGGTAGCGAGAAGCTTACCTCTCCCAGGAAGTTTAAAAAATGTTGGCGCCCCAACCGAGAAAGCCTTGGCGGATGTACTGTAGACTTTTCACCTTAACCCGGCAGTGAAAGGATCTGAACTCATTGGCTTCATAGCTAAGCCAAGGCACAGAGTTCAGTGGAATGAAAATACCCATCCGGCATCTAGCGCTATGTCAGAATGGTACATGATAAATTTGACAACCCCTTCCCCATGCACTCTGTTCTTCTCAGCTTTATCACTTTACCAGGCAAAAGTCTTTATTTATTTTTCTTTTAAGCTGTAGTGCTTTCTTTTTTAAAAAAACAGACCAGCAACACCAATATGTCTGGCTGGCTGCCTAAGCGCAATTACAACATAACTCCCCACGGCATTTGTTTCTCCTGTGTCCAAATCTGGATTATCCTTTTTCTTCTGTTGGTTTGTGTACATGGGTCAGAGGGGGTCACAGGCGGAGCGATCCGTGATCCTGGAGTAGCCGCCGGATGCAAAGAGGCTGGGCTTTGGTGGAAACTTTTGCAGTGTGTCGGAAAGCACGATTGTTCCAAGACGGTTGTCGATGTGAGCTTGGGGGTGAGGAAAGCAATAAAGGAACCAGATGAAATATTGATTTCTGCCCGACACAGTTCATTACTTGTGCCTGCTATTTTAAGAGCACCTTTTGCATGTCCAGAATATCAAATATATTTACTCCTTATGCAATCCCTGCAAATCTATACAGGTTCTTGTTCTTTCACCCCCCACCATACTTATTTATTCCTCTCACCTCCTTTATTTAGTTCTTTGATAACATTTTGAGCTGGGTCAGTGTGGTAGAGAATGGTTGTTCCTGGGCCACCCAGTGAGTCTCATTCTTGCAGGAGGTGTGAAAACCACCTCTTGTAGGACAAAACTATAAGAGATGCATTTACTTTTTCTCATTTTAGCACATTTTTTTTAAATGTGCAAAAGTTTTTGTCGTCTTCTTTTCTTTACAAAAAAACCCCTCGTAGTTCATGCCAAAAAAAGAGAGCAAATTGTGCTGCTTATATACCACGTAATAGCACTTAAAGCACTCTCTGAGTGATTTATAAGGCTACGCACTGCTCTCCCCCTGTGAACTGGGTACTCATATTACTGACCTCGGAAGGATGGAAGTCTGAGTGAACCTCGAGCCAGCTATCTGGGATTGAACCTGGGTTATGAGCCCAGTTTTGGCTGCAGTATTGCAGTTTAATCACCGTGCTACATGGCTCCTCAAATTTGTAATGCAAGCTACTACGTTAGTTAGTTTTTCCTTAATAGTATTGATGTCCAAACCTTAAAACCATCACTCTTGGGCAAAAGCAAAACAGCAACAAAAATCATAACAGTTTGATTAGATGTCTTCATCTCTAGCCGTTGGGGATAAGGAAATGGATTTAATATTGGTTGCAACCTTTCAATTTCAGTACCCCTGTCTTTCTCTTTCTTGCTTTTGGTAGAGAACCTTGGGTCGGAAACGCATGCATCGGCATGGGGGTTCATTCAAAGATGGTGAGTACACTCCCTAGTCTTTCTAAATTCTCTTTTTAAAATACAGTGGTGCCCCGCATAGCGACGTTAATCCGTTCCAGATTAATCGTCACTATGCAGAAACATTGCTAAACGGAACGGAAAAAGCCATAGGAATGAAGTTTAATGCATTCCTATGGCTCCCAAACTCACCGTTCAGCCAAGTTCCTCCATAGCGCCACCATTTTTGTGCCCTCGGTAAGCGAGGGCAGGGCGTGAAAACACTTGTGGTGGCCATTTTGGGCACCCGGCGGCCATTTCGGAACCGCCGATCAGCTGTTTAAAAAAACATCGCAATGCGAAGATCGGTAAGCGAAACGCTTACCGATCATCACAATGCAATGTTTTGCCTATTCAGAACATCGCAATGCGATCGCATTAGCGATTCATCGTTAAACAGTGCGCTCGTTAATCGAGGCACCACTGTACTCTATTCCTGATGGCTGGAGTTCTGTACACACCCAAAGGCACTCAACCTGCAAATCCAGAATTCTTGGCAATATAATTACCATATATTTATTACCCCCTGCTAGAATAATAGAATAATTGATTTGCAGGAGGCCTACAAGGCCATCTTCAATCCTCTACTAAATGGGGATTTCCAGTGTGGTGTAGTGGATAGAGTGACAGACGCGGACTCTGGAAAATGTGGTTTGAATCCCAACTTGGACATGGAAACTCACTGGGGGAGTGGAACTGGTTTAAAAAAAACCCACTACCTTGAAAGCCCTATTAGGGTTGCTGTAAGTCGGTTCCAACTTGGCATGGCAGAAGACAGTGATTGTGAGAGCCACTGTGGTCTGTGCAGTGGTTCCCAACATTGGGTCTCCAGATGTTCTTGGACTACAGCTCCCCCAAATCCTAGCCAGCATAGCTAGTGGTGAAGCCTTCTGGGAGTTGTCATCCAAGAACATCTGGAGCACCCAAGGTTGGGAACCATTGCTCTAGACCCTGATGCTACCCAACCTTAGGTCTGCAGATGTTCTCGAATCACAGCTCCCACAAATTCTGGCCAGCACAGCTGGTGATTAAAGCTTCTAGGAGTGGAGCTGGTTTCAAATCCACATTTGGCCATGGGAGTGGGGAAGTTTTGAAGAACACCTTGGACATCATCTTGAGAACCTGATTAGCGTCACCATAAGTCAGAAGCTACTTTGACAGCACATAAGAACACAATCAGTAGTGACACCTCCCTAGCTGGGACTGTGAACATTGTCCAATAGGCTGCGGAATTCAAATTGGTGCCAACTTGTTCCCCATTTGGATAGCTCTTTTCAGCCCCTTGTTTACACAACTCCATTCTGCTCACTTTCTTCCACCCTTCTCCAGAGGCCAGATTTTGTGACAATTTAGTGTACTTGGTTATCCTTTAAATCCATTAGGGGATTGCCTCTTTAAACCCGTCTCCCAAAAGATTTTGCTTCAAATACTTGACGTACGTTCTGTTGACCCAATGGGTCGCCCCTTACTGGAAGTAACAATTTGATTTGGCCTGACCTCTTCCCAAGGGTAGAAATACGAAACTTAGGAGAGCGAAGCAGGGAGGCGGTGTTGCTTATCTGTCCCGGTTTTTTTGCCTCCAGATCCCCGACTGTATCAAGAGATCCATGAAAAAGGCCTCAATGCCATCAGCCATGAGTCAGATGATGATCTCCTGGACATGGATACCATCCCTGAGGAACCTCCTAACTCCGACTCGGTCATTGTGGTGAAGAACTATCGGCCAGCTCACCTCACTTGGAGCCAACTTCCCGAGGTGGGCAAGACACGTAAACCAATATGGAGGGAGATCATGATCTAACAGTGCCGTCTTGAATTGTCTTCTGTTTTGGAATTGCATTATTTCAAAATGTTTAGGCAACTCATCTCTCCCCGACGGGATGCTTGTGGAGTCATGACTACTCAAGAACATGGAAATAACCACGACAAATCAAACTAGGTCCCTATTCTGGTGACCAACCTCCATCTTGGATTTCCCAGCAAGCGGTACACAGAGGCCTATCATTTCTGGCACTTGAGGTGTCACATAGTTGACTTCTGGAGTGGAAGGATGAGTCAATAGAGTGCCATTGTGGCTCGGGGGGCACCCAAACATGTCCATAATCCTAACAATCCTTAGGGAGGTGCCTTCTGTGTCTCCCAGTTGATTGATCGATGGTAATAATAAGACGTTCGAACATTTTCCTCACATCAATTTCATTTTGACTTCCTTACACAAGCTGCAACAGGCTATCCCGGCTACCTCTTTTATTAGCTGTACAGTTTTTCTTCGGTCAATATTGACACAACTTGTCTCTCCACCCCCTTCCTGCCTCCGATTTGGTGGTCACAAGCCAGCCTCTCTTTGGAAGTTCCCTTTGGCACCCAGATCTGAATGTTCAATGCAGCCCCATTGAATGTGGGTGATGTGGATTGAAGGGTGTGGCAGCCATGGAGTCTCACTTTCCTTTTCGTCTCTGTCTGTCTGTCTTTCTTTTTAACCTCCCACTCCTTCACGATAAAGTCTAAAGTTTTCTTTGTGAAGGAGGACCAAAGTTCAGTCACTCCACTGTCTGAGGCAGGCCGATTATCTTGGCGGCGTTGGTTCAGCTTGCTCAAACACACCTCTCTTTTTTGCTCCTGTTGTGGGTCTTGGGGATGTCTGGCGCTTGAGGGGTCACATAGTCGACTTCTGGAGTGGAAGGATGAGCCAACAGAGTGCCATTGTGGCTCAGAGGGCCACGAAAACATGTCCATAGTTCTAACAATCCTTGGGGAGGCTCCTTCTGTGTCTCCAAGTTGATTGATGGATGGTAATAATAGGACGTTCGGACATTTTCCTCACGTCAATTTCATTTTGGCTTCCTTACACAAGCTGCAACAGTCTACCCCAGCTACCTCTTTTATTAGCTGTACAGTTTTTCTTCTGTCAATATTGACACAACTTGTCTCTCCTCACCCTTCCTGCCTCCGATTCGGTGGTCACAAGCCAGCCTCTCTTTGGAAGTTCCCTTTGGCACCCAGATCTGAATGTTCAATGCAGCCCCATTGAATGTGGGTGATGTGGATTGAAGGGTGTGGCAGCCATGGAGTCTCACTTTCCTTTTCGTCTCTGTCTGTCTGTCTTTCTTTTTAACCTCCCACTCCTTCACGATAAAGTCTAAAGTTTTCTTTGTGAAGGAGGACCAAAGTTCAGTCACTCCACTGTCTGAGGCAGGCCGATTATCTTGGCGGCGTTGGTTCAGCTTGCTCAAACACACCTCTCTTTTTTGCTCCTGTTGTGGGTCTTGGGGATGACAGGGAGAATGCAGGCAAGAACTAAAGAAAAAAATAAAGAAGACAAACATGACGTGGAACCTTAAAGACTAACTGCTATATTCCCCCCCCATATGTCTGAAGAAGTAGACTTTGATCCATGAAAGCTCACATTAAAAAATATAATAGTCTTTAAGGTACCACGTGTTTTTGTTTTATTCACAGCGGTGCCTCGCTTAACGATTGTCCTGCATTACTACAAAATATACGATGATCTTTTTGCGATCACAATTGCGATCGCAAAATGATGGTCTAAATGGGGTCTTTTCGCTTTGCGAAGATCGGTTCCCTGCTTTGGGAACTGATTCTTCGCATTGTGACAATCAAAACAGCTGATCGTCGGGTTTTCAAAATGGCCACCGGGTGCTTAAAATGGCTCCCCGCTGTGTTTAGGGACGGATTCCTCGCTATACAGGCAGTGAAAATGG